GACAGTCTGTTTCATGCTATATGCAATCGTCAGGCCACATATGCTGTTATTTTTCTCGGCTATTTATATATATACGGGTTAGTGGTGCATTGTGGGTATTCTATTATGGCGGTTAATTTTTACCGGAAGTCACTTTGTTTACTTATTTGGGTCAAATTATATTGCTCGTTTTTATTTTTTTGTTTCTTATTTTATTTATTTATTTATTTATTAACGTAGTAAAAATTTGTTTATATCACGTATTTAACAGTTTTGTTTTGGTTTGAGAATTTAATTAAAGCTATTTGTTCAATTTTGGGGTCGGTTGTTGTAGTTCATTCTAATTGTTATTCAATAGTTTCTTACACTTATAAGATTTCTCTTACTATATATATATATATATATATATATATATATATATATAAGATTTCTCTTACTAATATATATATATATATATATATATATATATATATAAGATTTCTCTTAATAATATATATATATATATATATATATATATATATATATATATATATATATATATATATATATATATATATATAGATAGATAGATACATACAGTGCGAAAATTTGTGGACACTCCCGGCAATTAATTTTTAAATAAGCCCTAAAATTAGTTGTTTTGTACTTTAAATGGGAGAAAATTATTATATATGGTAAAAAGAATGTGAGGCAGGATTTTTTAGGAGAAATTATTATGACAAAAAAAGCATTTTATGATTAAATTTTGCTCTCGTTAAAATATCCTTCTTTAGCATTGATTACTGCAACACAATGTTTTGGCATTCATCGCAAGAGTTTGTTAATTGATTCCATTTATTTCAATGACTCTAAGAGCACTTTTTTCATCTTTTTTCACTTCTTTTGACAAGTTCGTCCAATGCACATTCTGGGGGTGGCTTCAATCTTGTGAACTGTAGTATATATATATATATATATATATATATATATATATATATATACACAGACAGACGGTTTTGCTGCATCACAGCTCATCAGTGTCGCCAGACATCCGACTGCTTCAAGCCGGTAACTCAACCGGTCAGAGATACTTACCACAAGCGCACAGCAGAGAAATGAATTTTTAACCCATTATATACGTATATAAACACGATACCGCTGATATATATATATATATATATATATATATATATATATATATATATATATATATATATATATATATATGCGTGTGTGTGCGTTTATGTATATATATATATATATATATATATATATATATATATATATATATATATATATATTAAGAAATGGACAAGGTCCGACAATTTATTTATTAAAGACATATTTTTATGTTTATAAAATAACAACGTTAAACATAAAAATATGTTTTTAATAAATATATATATAGTTAAACCTAGAGAGCCAGACAAACCTACCAAGGTTTTACCTAAGCGGATCGTCAGGGAAGGCCGAGCGAGTATAGTTTGTTATACTTATAAGATTTCTCTTACTAATATATATATAAATATATATATATATAAGATTTCTCTTACTATATATATATGGAAAATTTATTCGTGTGACGTATTTCGTTCTTTGGGACTTTATACGTGTGTTTTGTGCATATAATCTGACCGATTTCATTCAGATGCTGTAATCAGGAGATAGTTTCGCTTGTAGCCCGGTTTTTATATAGCAATAACATTTTATCCCTTGTTTTCTATTTAGGTTTGTGTTTACGGGTCCTAATGTCCATTCAGCTCAATGCAACTAACATTTCCTACATTAATATAACTCCAAACAGTGGTGTTCCACTGGTTGAACTAAGGAATGCAACTCGTCGGCTTATTACCCATGAATACAGCGATAATGTTCTCAAGCAAGGCGATAATGCCACTAAGACGCAAGGGAGTTCTGGGAATGAAAAAGAATGAAAAAACTTTAAAAGGAACCCAGCCCTAATCAACAAACAAGGATAAATCTCTACTCATGAGCGAAAAATAGGGGAGGAGTGTGAACCGTATGATGGGAAACTAATTGTAGGGTGGATAATTTAAAAAAAAAAAATCACCCCTAAAGCTTTCGGAAAACAATATCAATCACTAACTCTCTACCTGGAGTGGCTCTTGGGATTTATATTTGTAATTTATTAACAAAAAAATATCGTTTCTTTTAAAAAATTAATAATAAATCATCTCCCTAAAACTGTCTCGATTGGATCGAGCCTCGTCATCTTCGGATATATGAACTAACCGCAAAACGTTTGACTTCACAGAATAAAACCCAAACACTTTCTAACCTCTAATTTAGTTTGAGAAAAAAACCTCTTCGTAAAAAAATGTCATTTCAGTCCTCTTAAATTCATATACCTTTCTCAATTGTCATACGAACCCACAAATTAAGAAAAAAATACTCTGGTCCTAAAGCAAATAATAAGATTCAGGGGCGGAGAAATAAAAAAAAAAAGGAAGAAAAAAAGTGTCGTCTTTAAAAAGTAATTTGAGCCAGGTTTTGTTTTGCTGTGTACAAAGAGTCGCCCGGA